CACCTCACTTTCCTCATTAGTAATCAAGGGAAGGCCCAGATCTCTTCCTGGCATGGTGGTTGTGACAGGTAAACTTGCCAACTGTAAGAGACTCTGAAGAGGTGAATGGGTCATGGTGGACCTACACTCTTGAGTGGACAAAACCACTGATGTTCATGGTGGAAAGTAGTGCCCAGCAGGAGGTGGGTCCTGGGCTCTGGCTTTGGAAGGTTTGTCTGTCACTGGTTCCCATACTCTGCTCTTGGCTGCCATGAACTGAATGACTTTGCTGGGCCGTGCATTCTCCCATGAGGTTTCTGCCTTGGAGCTGGCTGACCATGGACTGAACCTTCTGAAACCATGAGCCAAATTAAACCTCTCCCACTTTAATTTGTGGATATTGGTTATTTGGTCCCAGAGACAGGAAACTGACTAATATGTCAGTGAACAATGCACTGGAGTCAGAAAATCCTTTGTGATTTTTTTCAAATTCCTATTTTGGTGCAAACCAAGGATGGAGATAGGCATAGTCCTAAGTTAGTCTGTCTGGTGAACAACGGCATCCCTTCCAATCACAGCAGTGAATATTCTTACTATAGATTAATTCAATGCATATAAAGTTCACATGGCCACCATGAATTTCTTGCTCCCTTGGTGCTACAACCTATGTGCCACAGGGCTTTTTTATGTTCTAAAATCCCAAGTGATCCTATGTTCTAGGATGTTGATGGATAGAGTTTAAAGTTTGATTTTTTTGCACTGGGAATTGAACTCAGGACCTTGTACTTGCCAGACAGATTGTGTGCAACTGAGCTATATCCCCAACCCCAGAGCTTGAAGTTGGAGAACTTTTTGAACTCATTGGAGAAATCGTTGTATATGTAGTTTTTAGGTCCAGAGTGCATAACTTTTATTAGATCCTTAAGGGGGTTTAACTCAAAGTCACTGTCATTTGCACAGTGACTGAAACGAATGCCTCCCCTGTAAACTGTGACAGCTCACCGGGCTCCACATTTAATGAAACTAGGGTGGACTCCAGTTCTCAACATTTTTCCATGCCAATGCTGAAAGAGTGTCCTCATTTTTTGAGTAACAATGGCTTCTAACAAAAGTAATCCTCAGTGTGAGTGAGGCAAGCAAAGTACACATCTCACGGAGGAAAGGCCAATCATGTAAAATTTAGTTCCTGAATGTATTCTGATTTATTCTGATTTCTTTTTCTGAGTATATGAGCTATGCAATCTAAAGGAAGATATTGTATCCCAATCTCTCTCTCTCCCTCTCTCTTTCTGTCTCTCTCCCAACAAAATAATAGAGAAGAGTAAAATGATTTTTAAGTCAAGAAATGACAGTTGTATTCATGTTACTTTAGTGTGAACCATATGAAATTCATTCTCTCTCTCTCTCTCTTTCTCTCTGTCTCTGTCTGTCTCTCTCTCTCTGTCTCTCTCTCTCTCTCTCACACACACACACACACACACACAATGCACACCGACTCTTTTGCTTCATTTCCACTGCCATTTTCCAGTGTTAGCCTATTCTGGGCCTTCATTCTTACTGATGATTGTATCTCCCTTTCTTGGCATCTCTGCTTCGGTTCTTTCTCTTCTTCTTCTCCAGCTCATGCATTTACCACATGTAAATGGAATGATTCTTCTGTTAAGTGGAACCAAAGAAACTGATGGTATTTGACTATTTTTGGCTGGCAGAGACAGAAAAACAGAAAGATAGAGAGAGAGAGAGAGAGAGAGAGAGAGAAGCAAGTGAGCAAAAGACAGAGACAGAGAATGAATTTCATAGGTTCCCCCTAAAGTAGCATAGATACAGTTGTGCCATTCCTTGGCTTAAAATCATTTTACTGTTCCCTATTATTTCTGTGAAACATGACCACACTCCCCAGGCACATTCTCCGTTAATAACAGACCTTGAATTTGACTGCTTGACCAGGGTGTGAAAACTCAGATGCCTACCGGAATCAAATGCAGTGCAGATTTTTCACATGACATGGAGCTCACTCAGAGCAGCACAACAGTGCAGAGATGAGAGTTGCGTGCCCTTCCAAAAGAGCCAATTTGGTAGATTGCTTTCTAGTTCTATGTTTCTGATCTTTAAGAAGCTGGAAATCTAGAGTTTTATCTGTAATATTTTAGATTTTCAATTGTAAGAGAAATGTGTTATTCTAAGCATGTGTTTTCCCCTGCAGCCAGCTGTATGTTTGTGTATCCCAGTGCCAGGGTATTAACAAGGAAAGCAGCTAAGAGGTGATTAGACCACAAGTGTGGGACCCCAATGAACTGGATTAGTGGCCTAACAAAAGGCTTGAGGAAGTTGGTTTGGCCTTTTCTGCCTTTCCACCTTGACAGGAAGCAGCAAGAAGGAGCTCTTTGGCAAAAGGGAAGAGAATCAAAAGGTGGGGACAGCGGGCAGGAGGGGATGAAAAAAGACTGCAGCTGTGTCGGGTCCAAGGAGGGACATACCGATGAGGAACATGATCAGTATGTTCTGTGGATATGCACCAGTAAACTAAAGAGGGCCTGTGTATCAGGAAAAGGCCTTTGTTGGATGCCAAACCTGCCAGTGCCTTGGTGTGGGTCTTCAGCTCCCAGAACTGTGAGAAATCAGTTTCCACTATTTATAAATTACTCATTCTGGTATTTCGTTAAGTGACAGCAACAAACTGAGACACTAGCCAATTTGACAGTTTTAACAATCATTTGATGGCAAAGCCCAGCACACGTATAAATAATGCTGGTCTGCAAGCTTCCAGGTTCTGACTCCTGCTTCTGGTCATTCCTGACATTGCGCCAGAATATATTCACATCTCAGACAGAGGAGCCACTTTCCTACCTCCTGTGACATCCTCTGCACTGAATTTCTTTTTGTGTCTGTCTCAGCTCCTTTCCTAGCCTCTGCCCTGTGGCACAAGTGCATGACTGAGGTCCCCGGTGCTTTGCTGGCTTTTGGCTAGTGGGGTCCCTTGGGTCCTAGATGTCACTTACAATTTTTCAGCATCAGCTGCTTATTTCATGGAGACCACAACGGAAAGACATTCTCTCAAAAGGGACGAACTCGGGCCCAGCCAGCACGATTTCCCTTTTAATCAGCTGGACATGAATTTAGGACCTTAATTCCATCCACAAAGTCCCTTCACTTTGGCTATATTCTGTTGTCTCAAAGTAAGTTACAAGCTGGTTATTATGGGTTAGGTTGTCTTTTTTCCCCTAAAAATTAATGTTTTGAACTGTTACGCCCCGTGCTATGGTTTGAATGTGTCTTCTCTCCAATTTCAAGTGTTGCAGTGTGATCACTAAGACTGGGGCCTTTGAGGGGTGACAAGGGCAAAAGGCTCCCCCATTGTGAACAGGATTTGGTGCTCTTAAAAGAGGAAGTTTGGTCCTCCTGCCTTTCACCTTCTCCCTGTGAAAACACAGAGCTCCACCCCTCCAGAGCATGCAGACCTCACCAGGCAACTGCACTTGTGGGTGTCTTAATCTCTGCTACCACCTTCAGTGCCGTGAGAAAGCAAACTTCTGCTGATACAAAGTTCCTAGTGTTGGGTATTGTTTTTAAAACGACATGAAAGGACCAAGACACCTCAGAATATGACTATACTTGGAACCAGTGCCTTTAAAGAGGTGATTGTTATTATAACCGATTATAATCCAGTATGATGAGTATCCTTATCGGAAGAAGAGACTAACAGATCAGTGTTGGGAGACCAGGAGGAAAGGCAGGAGAAATCAGGCATTGATAACCCAAAGAAAGAATGTTAGAAAGAAGAAGCCCTGCCCACCCCTTCGCTTCTGATGCATTGGCTTTATTTTATGTCATTTCATTTGCAGGACATAACGTTTATATTTCTGGTGGGGAGCTGATACAATGCATCTATTGTGTGTCAAACTGAACATTTGCAAGTTTAACTAAGTAAGAGATTCAGCAGGAGCTAAGATTGTTACTTGGTAAACATCCTCATCCTATGCAAGAGGAGGGCAAAAAGAGTTTCTGAGTGCTACACCTGCCCCGGGGGTTGGGTGGGGGGAGATGGCTTGTGTACCATACATACAGGGGAGGAAAAGAAATTTGAAGTAAAAAAAAATGAAGTTGAGGAGACCAGCAAGGGTGTGTCCTTCAGTCATGGTAGGAGGCTGCTGCAGTGGAGGGAGAAGGAAGAATTGGAGGGTCAGGCAGGGAAAACCTGCTACTAGGTCAGTCTCTAGCTCCTGAATGGCCTCCGTGGACAGCAGCAAGCTGATCTACTCTGTGGAGTCCTCCTTGTGGTTCCAGGTGTGGCTGTGTTCAGATAAGTGCTTTGGGGCAGTAACACTGCAAAGGAGAGGGTGTCTGCCCTGCCTTGGGGGAGGGAAGTCATAGGCTTCATCCCCATATGCAGGTGGCACAGTGACATGTCCGATATGTGTTCCACCCCTTTGGGAGAAGCTCTTCACCTTTCCGACTGAACCTGTGACGCCTTCTGAAGGAGTCCGTCAGCTGTCAAAGCCACCCGGGAAAGGCGGATTTTTTTGGTTAGGGTGCTGTGAGATAAGAAGAGACTTGGGAGGAAGCACAGAGAAGGGAGAATAGGTTTCTTTCTAAAATAAGCTTTATGAGGAAGCATACTATGGCAAGAAGACCTGTTCCCCTGCTAAGATTTCACTTCCACTGTATTCGCTGTATATGTATATGCATAAATATGTCATCATTCATATATATATATATATATATATATATAATTCATGGAGACTATATATATATATATATATATATATATATATATATACATATTTTCAATCAGCAGAGAGAATCAGGCTGGTACATATTCTGGTTACTATGGAGACCAAAACGGAGCATGGGAAACACAAGAGTTCTGGTGTCTGAATGTTAACGGTTTGTTACCATTCTTGAATTTTTAGAAATTCCTTAAATGACTTTAATTAGAAGCATCTAACACCTAGTGTGGAATGGGTCTGATTATGTCTAGACAAGTGAGAATTTTTCACATGCAGGTCTTTGTTTCCCCACAGATGTGTCTATTTACCTTCTTTGCCGAGAAAGAAAGCCTGAAAGCACGGAGAAGGAGTCTCCTGCCGGAATGCTGACAAGAAGATTTTACAAGAGTATTTCACTGCATTTTCACATACTTAGATTACTAAAGTTTGGGTAAACAAATAAAAGGCAAAAAAAGAAAAGAAACAAAGAGAAAGTGCTGAAATGACTTCTGTCTGTGATGAATCCACATATTTGGAGTTTGGAGTGTGTTTGTGCAACCAGCACTACTCTTAATAGAAGAAAATAGAAGAAGAGTCTCCTTATACATCTTAAAAATAATCTGGAAACTGAAAGCTAGTTTTAAGATGACTTAACAATGGAATAATTAATTTTTATTTGTTTACTGACTTATTTTGTCTTTTGGAGACAGGATCTCCCTATGTGGTTCAGGCTAGCCTTGGGTTCACTTTGTAGCCCGGGCTGGTCTCGAACTAACAATGAACTTCCTGCCTCAGCCTTCTGGGTGCTGGAACTACAGGAGTGGGCCACCACGCCTGGCTGGGATAATTCAAGCGTTCTTTCCTGATCACCTGTGTTTTACACTTTGTACTGTAAGCCACTGTCTTAAGAACGTCATGCAACATACTGTCTGTGATGTTCTCTGCAGTCTTCTTGGGATGAATGTCGTTAAGTGTGAAAAACATGATGGGATTGTGGAAGTATTAATACTGAGGCTTGCAGGAATGTCCCTGAGGCTGACAGTGCCAACGTCAAGGTCAAAGATCTACGCCAACGTCCTTGGCTGAGTCTTTCTGCCTTTCCCCATTCCCATTTGCAATCTATTTCTATTAGTCTTTTGGGTTCTTAGCATTTTCTTGTTCAAATTCATCTGCACCTTCACGCCATGCCCGGTCCGCCTTTCTGCAGCCTTCCCCTCCACCAGATGTACTGCCCTTTAAGCAGCCGGTGTGTCTTGCAGCTGCTCACCGCTGACCCATTTCCCATATCTGGAGACAGTGGCGTGGCAAAGCTGACTGCTCCAGGCTCGCATGAGAACCCTTTCCAAGCCTGTTGTGCTGCTTAGCGTGGAGAAGACACGCTCCACGGCTCCAGGTTCCTGTGGCTCTGACCTCTGCACGTGTTTCCCTGGTGGTCAAGTCTCAGCATCTTCTTGGACCGCTACATCTGCTCATCTGTGGCCTCCTTGGTCGCCCTTCTCTTCACGGCCATCTCGTGTCCCTTCCTGCTGTGCCGACTCTGCTCTGCTGAGTCCACACGTGCAGAGTCCTCTCCTCTGTCCTTCTTGCTGCTACTTGGTCCTTCAGGTCTCACCACAAACTTGGTTCCACAGGGAAACCGCTGCACTGACACCAGACTGGACCCACAGTGTCCCTGTGAACTTTCTTATTTACAATTCCCTTCACAGCTGGTAATTAGAAAGTGTGCTACTGTGAACTTTGTAGTCAGGAAGCACGAATGTGTGGAAGGATTAATTTCTCTCTCTATCCAGTGCGGTTTAGCTCTTCGTATTTCTTTTACATCCAGGGAGCAGCTAAATCTTGCCGTAAGTTATGCTCAGGGTTTTTTTTCCCCACTACTCTCTTTCAGACAAATGCTATTCTTTTTTGCTTTCTTTTTTAAAGTTGCTTATTTATATTAGTACATTTGCCTCACATTATGTTTGCATTTTTGTGTGGAGTTGGTTTGTGTATATAACACACGTTCATTCTCTTTCCATCCTCTCTCTCTCTGCTCCCTACCCCCTGAACCCTTTCCATCTGACAAACAGCTGTCTCTTTACTTTCTGTTATCTACTTATTTTATTTTTCTCTTTATTTATGTTTTGGATTTTCTAATCTAAAACTTGCATATCTGATTTTTTTTACTTAATGTTACAATCCTTAACAATTCGTAATAACCAACTCTCTCAGTGGCCTACTACTTGCTGTTACTGCTGGTCCTGCAGTGACCCCTGATTATAACATCTTTCCCCCATGTCATTCTCATCTTTCTCGGGACCTTCTGACCTATTTGTAGGGCTTGGTTTCTTTTTGTTGGGAGCAGAAGCTCAGAAGTTGCATTCAAATGCAGTTAGTTTTCTACACCTGTTAGATCAGATGGGATCAAAAAGTATGGTGACTATTTTAAAAATTTAAATTAGACTAAAAGACACGTTGCCATGAATCCTTCTCTAAACACCACCCCCTCCTTCCAAAGCACTTCCCCCATCATTCTTGCATTTGATGAAGCAGTTCTGGGAGTCCTCTGCTGCTGGGTCTTTAATTTCACTGTCATGACTGCCTCGATGGCGTGCATTGATGCAAAATATTTACTTTTCATGATCATTTTGACTTCAAGAAAGAGAAGAACAGGAAATTCTCTGGTCCCAGATCTGGTGACTGAGATGCATGAGGACACTTTGGATAGAAGCTGCTGTACCAGACTCAGTGTGTGACAGGAAGCATCGTCATGAGGGAGGACGAACCCCTTGTGCCTTCTCAGGTCGTTTTCTACACACACTGTTTCTTAAACATTGTGGTAACCCTCATAACATGCACCACTCACAGCAGTGTTCCTGGGTGCTAGCTTAACTTCCACAGTTCTATCAAGCTCAAACACAACCCCACAGTCACATACCTCGATATGGGATCTTGATTGATGTGCCTTTTTGTTTTTTGTGACGAGAACTGGATGATTTCCTTTGAGAACACTGGACTCTGACCACAGGATCATAAACCCAAGTTGCATTTCTGGTGACGACATTTCTTAAAAAGCTGGAATCTGAAGCAACACAATGAAAGTTGAAAGCTGAGGAAACGCCAATGAAATTGACAGATGCTATTGGTTTTGTTCCACAGTCAAAGCACAGGGAACAAATCTCAAATGTACCCAGCTCTCATTGGAATCTATTGGTAAAATGCTTTGAACAGAACCCAAGTTGGAACTTGTCATACCCTGTTCCTAAAGTCCCACGGTCACTTCTCGTCTTGAAGATCCTTTCCTTTCTGTCACATGGCCCTCAGCAGCAGCATGCACCCTATGCTTGGGTCACACCTCGTGCTTGCTAAGGTGTGTGGGTTGGTGTCCCTCTGAAGTCCGTTGGAATCCCGCCACTCCAGGGTTTTGGGAGGTTGATCAGGCCCTTGGGGTTGACTGGGCCATCAAGATGGAGTCTCGTGAATGGGATGAGTAGTTTTAGAAGCAAGACTAAGAGACTCCTGGCCTCTTCTGGAATCTATGAGGACACTGTAAAAGGAGCACCTTGATGCATCAGGAAGTTGGCCCTCACCAGACAGTGCACCTGCCTCCATCCTGGACCTCCCACCTACAGGGAGATGAGAAGTAAATTTCTGTGGTTTGTAACAGCCAGTCTCGGGTATTCATTATAGAAGACAGAATAGACTAAGGCTAATGCCCTGAGCCTGCCGCATCTGTGGGCCTGCAGCCTGGCATGCCTGCGTACAGCCCTCACTCAGCTAATCTGCCAATAGCTGCTGCGGTGGACCTGGCTTTCCTATGGAAAGATCCCAGGATGCAGTAGACTGTCACAGACATGCTCCAGCCCAGACTGTGTTGTTATCTCAGAAGGCTGAAAAGTCCAGAGGCCCTTCCCCAGTCCCCTGCACCAGCTGTAGGCTTGCTCTCCTCCTCCCCCAGCCCTGAAGCTCCTTCCCCAGCTGAACGCTGGGCAGGTCCCCACTGAATGCTTTTCTAACCTGAAGCTCTGAGTAGTCACTGCACCCAGATCCTTGACACTTTGCTGCCTTTTGAGATTCAAACTTTTCATCTTCAGTGTTTTCTTCCTGGCTTCCCATGGACGAGAGCCCTTTATCTGTAACGAGCCTTCAAAATTCTCAAAGTATTACAACTCATTTAAAATGCATTCAGGGGCTGGGGATTTAGCTCAGTGGCATAAGCGCCTGCTTGGCAAATGTGAGGGCATCAGTTTGATCCCCAGTACCCCCACCAAAGTGCATTCAGTATTCAATTTGCTTTCTTATTTCTAAACTGATTTACTTCTCCTGGGGCAAGAAGACCAATTTTGAGGCAATTGATCCCTACTTGTATAGTTTTCAAAATGTTATTTTTCTTTATAGGGTTGAGTTTTGTATCTTCCATAGAAATTCAGGCTCTCCAAGGTTTCTGTTTTACTATTGTATTCATTAACACGCTGTTGGTCTTTACTAATAGGTATCATTGAAGAAATGATTATACAAGCGAAAAGTTATAACAAAGGAACATAAGCTCACCCTCACGGGTAGAGGCCTGAGTCCAGACTTTCACATGGAGATCTTGCAAGCTCTGCTGCAACAGGAAGACTGACCAGGAAACTGTGTATTTATTTCTACTACCAGGATTTTATATCACTCTGTTCTGTCTTGAACAGAGAAAGATCATGGCCTTCCTTCACCATTAGCTTCAGAGAAAGAAGAGAAGGGTAAAAACAAATTTAGTGAATTATCTGAACTGGTCCCTATTTCCTATACTACTAGTTTCATTTAGTTGATCGAAAAGAAAGTTTTGCACTATTATCTGTTTCTTTGTTGTAAGAGAAAATGTCTTTTGTCTTTTACTCGGAGTAACTGTTTTTAGGATTATGATACATGGCATAGGAACTATTGTTAGTCTCTTCTTTTATTAGGGAATTTTGTTTCTATGTTTTCATAAAATAAAGAAATGTATGGCAACTAGGAAAAGCATCGAATCTGCAGAAAGAAGAGCTTTGCCTTAGTTCTCTATGGGTCAGAAAAAATGTTGTGTGGATAGAGGTGCAAAGAACAGAACTGGACTCACTGATTTGATATGTGAAGGCATAGCGGCAGGTGTCACTTGCAGGCGCTTCCGCTTGGTAACTTAGAATGTTAGCATCTACACAGAGAGTGGGACAGAAAGTTTGGAGAGCTCGCCCTGCTTCTGCTTCCTGCATGTTTGCATCCAACTTTTATAGGGAAGAGTAAGCCTTTCATGTGTCAAAGGACAGTTACTCCTTTTACTAAGCATGACAGCAAGCAAACATTGGAAAGTGGCCAGTTCATAGAAATACTTAGTTTTTGGACTCAGAATTGAAATGCAAAACAAGGTCCCACCTTCTTTCTTTTAAAGGGACTTCTCTGGTGAAAATTTTCATTTTTAGAGGTCAAGCCCCTCTTTTATTTTGAATTGTATTTCAGATGGCACAAAGAAAGACATCATAGGACGGTGCAAAATTAAACTGTCTTGATCTTCACAGTGAGTGCAGTGCTATTTAGAAAATAGCCAAACAAAAATTTAGGGTGTTTCTCAAGACCACAGACAAATACAAAGGACCCAAATTTCTGTTTATAGGATTAGGGCTATAAACAGTCACTCGGGTAATTTCACTCTTCTTGTGGAGTCACTTGCGGGTGTGCCTGAGGTCAAGCTGTAATTCAGTGGTCCACTCTGGGGACAGCAGTCTGACTGCTGTTAGTCAGACAGAGTCTTTGTTCATTTAAAGTAAATATAAACACAGAAGGAAGTGGAGAAGAAATTTGGAGAAAAGGTACCTGACAGATGTGGCCTAAAAAAATTTATGCATTCTTCTGAAAATGCCCCAGTCAACCCTGGCCCATCCTTGTCATTTCAAAGAGCT